CTAGTAAAAGAGATATCCCCACATTTGCCAATGCATATTATTTATTTCACTGAGGTCAATTTTTGTTATAGCACTGTTTTGATGATTGCTTGCCCCTAAACAAGACAGTCATGCAAAACTAATGGTCTGCAGTTGGTCATTCTGCATGTCAAATGGCTCCTTCCTGTCCCAGTAGGCTGTTCTTGGCCACGTTGAGCGTCAAAACCCACGAGACCCTCTACTGATAGTCAGTCTCTCAGATCTCAGTCTTCTACAGATTGAAGGCCTTTGCTTGCAATTAGTCCTGCAGTGTTTCAGCTGGCTGTCCCCAGACAGTCTGTATGTCTTGAGCAAAATGCAGCATTTCACAATGAACTCATAATTCCTTCAGCTTAATTCATGTGTTGTGGTAATGGAGTCTGGGGTGCATGGAAGAAGACCCAGGAGCCTCTTTGCTTTTTAGCTGCTTGTGTGAGCGATGCGGGCTGTCTGAGGCCATTTCTCTGTCTGCTGCTGATTTGACAGGCGTCTCAGCTGTTCCCCTGACAGCGCGTCACTGCTACCAAAGCTCAAGAGCAGCGCAGGGCTGACACGCCATGCAGCGCTGCTGCTGCCTTCCATTTCACCTCAAAGAGCTCCAGCAGCAATACAAAGCACACTACAAAGAGCAACTCGAAGCCCAATGCATGACTTAACAGAGAGCTGAGCAAAACCACAGCATTAGCATGAAAAGTTTGGAGACATCTTTTGAAATGTGAGTTTTCTTGCTGTTACATGTCAGTTAAGTACATTTCTTAGCATTAGATTTCATTAGCATAAAGCACAAAAGTTTCCATTAGCACTGTTGTATAAACATTCTGAAATGCTAAGAGGCCCCGAACTTTAGACAGCCAGGGACACAGGGAGTTTTATTAAGCATTACAACCCACATACATTCAGATCTCAGAAGCATTGCCTTACCTCCAATTTTCACATGGAGAGCTTATTTAGCATACATAAGGACTTCATTTTCATGCATAAAAGATGGAGAGTGAATGACTGTTCAGTATAAATACAGTATTAGTTCATAATTAATGACAGCAGCCCAAGTTTTAACTGCCTATGATGGAAAGAATTTATAACACGCCTACCACAACAGTGACACGCATCTGACCTGATAATCTCACATGCAGGCAAAAAGTGAAGAAACAGAGCCATCCATACACATCCAATCTACAGTAAGATTTTCTGTTTACAGCTGAAAGATGATATTTACCATGATGATGATGTGTCTGATTCAGTCTTGTTAGACTGGCTTATAGCATCCATCATTTGCACTCTTAAAAATAAGGGTTCCTGATCTGGATATATGGTTCAAGGAAAAACCTTGATTGACACAGAACCTTCATTTTTGTAGAAACTAATGGTTTGTTACACTTCTTTCTACGTTCTTTACACTGATTCTCATATGGTATCACTTCAAACAACTCTTTTTGGAACCTTCATTTTCATCCACACTCTCATTTTGAAGAATGTAGATAACTTAAAACATACCCATGAATTTCTATCCAAATGGTTTTTGCATCCTGTAATGGTGTTCCAGCAAAACTAGATTTGCCAAAGCTGTTGACTCTCCTTAAACATGTTGTCTTGTGTCTTTCTTCACACTTGCTCACACAGAATGTTCAGGGATATATGACTGATGATGATGATGTCAACATGACAAATGAATCATATTCCAGAAAACAAGATGAAGCACATAAACACTGTCAACAAATTTTAATACGCAATCGCACGTGATTTGTGGAACAAATGTTTCACACTAAGTGAAACTGTAAAAATTTATTAATGTAATTAATTTTCTGCCTGATTTCTAATTGCTAATTTAATTGGTTGCTAATTGCCTGAACCTCTAATTGTTTAGGAGTTAATCAAATCTGTAGCAGATTTATCAAAGATGTGTTGGGTTGTTTGGTTTGTTTCTAACACTTTAAGTAGCAGGAGAAATATATACACAGAGCTACACAGAGCTTCTACTATAGAATTGCATTTGTCTATGTCTATTTTGCATACATTTTTACATTAATAATAAAACTTGAGTAGCATTTCAGCATTGTAACGTTTTATAGATTCAATTAAATTAAATACTTAATATTAGGGGTAGGAAAATATTTCTGGTGAAAAACATTTCTGATAAAAATACACACAAAGAGCTATACTGAATACAATGTATGACACAAAGTACAAAAATATCATATAAACATGAAGATTCCTGTTTTTTAGATTTTAGTTTAAATGCTACTTTAAGGGCCCATAAAAAAATCCACTCCTTACCAACACAAAATAATTTGATATGTAAGTATGTAAATGTTGCTAAAGTTACAAAATGTACTGTTCTGGGCTAAGGGTTTTCAAATAAAAGTTACTTGTTCATTAGGTCTGGATAAACAAACTAACCTGAGTGAATAGAGACAATGGTTAACGTTAAAACCACTAACAATTAGGCTGGGCAACTAAAATAATAATCGCAATTAAAATAAGATACATCAAATACAACCCCAATTCCAAAAAAGTTGGGATGCTGTGTAAAATGAAAATAAAAACAGACTGCAATGATCTGCAAATCTCACAGACCCACATTTTATTTATGATAGAACATAGAACACATATCAGATGTTGAAAGTGAGACATTTTACAATTTCATGAAAAACATTAACTCATTTAGAACTTGATGGCAGCAACGCATCTCAAAAAAAGTTGCGTCAGGGACAACAAAAGGCTGGAAAAGCAAGTGGTACTAATAAAAAACAGCTGGAGGAGCAATTTACAACTAATTCACATGAGTGGGTGTAAAAAAAAGGGCATTTTAGAGAGGCAGAGTCTCAGACGCAAAGATGTGCAGAGGTTCACCAATCTGCGAAAAACTACGTCTACAAATTGCGGAACAATTTCAGCAAAATGTTTCTCAACATAAAACTGCAAAGACTTTGGATATCCCACCATCTATGGTACATAATGTCATCAAAAGATTCAGAGAATCTGGAGAAATCCCTGTATGCAATGGACAAGGCCAATGGTCAATATTGGATGCTCATGATTTTCGGGCCCACAAGCAGCACTGCACTAAAAACAGGATTCTGTACAGGAAATCATTACATGGACTCAGGGACACTTCCAGAAATTGCTGTTTGTGAACACAGTTTGCCGTGCAATCCACAAATGCAAGCTGTATCATGCAAAGAAAAATGTGTCAACAGAGATCCAGAAACGCCGCCATTTTCTCTGGGCCAAAGCTCATTTAAAGTGGACTAAGGCAAAATGGAAAACTGTTCTGTGGACAGATCAATCAAAATTTAAAATTCCTTTTGGCAACCATGGACACCGTGTCCTGCGGACTCAAGAGGAGATGGGACCATCCAGCTTGTTATCAGTCTATAGTTCAAAAGCCTGCATCTCTAATGGTATGGGGTTGCATTAGTTGCATTAGTACCTATGGCATGGGCAGCTTACACATCTGGAAAGGCACTATCAATGCTGAACAGTATATAGAGTTTTTTTTGCTGTCCAAATTAAAACAAGTATCTCCAAAAAAGTAAATTTACAGGAGAGGGCAAAAACATTCTTTGCTTTCAATGTAAGTCAATGAAAAGAGTTTTCTATTGGTCCATTCATCATGAAATCACACAATGTAAAGAGATACATGTTTTTCATTGGACAGTGACGATATGCTCCCATCAGACAACAACCCTTTTAGGTAAGGCCTTGCATATTTCAGCAAGACAATGCTAAATCAAATACTGCATCCATCGCAACAGCATGGCTTTGCAGAAGAAAAGTCCGGGTGCTGAACTGGCCTGCCTGCAGTCCAGACCTTTCACCAATAAAAAACATTTGGCGCATCATGAAATGAAAAATCCACCAGAGAAGACCCAGGAATGTTGAACAGCTAGAATCCTTCATCAGACAAGAATGGGACAACATTCCTCTTCCAAAACTCCGGCAATTGGTCTCCTCACTTCCCAGACGTTTACAGACAGAAGAGGGGAGGCTACACAATGGTAGGCCCTGTCCCAACTTTTTTGAGATGCATTGCTGACATCAAGTTCTAAATGAGTTAATATTTTTCATGAAATGATAAAATGTCTCACTTTCAACATCTGATATGTATTCTATGTTCCATTGTGAATAAAATATGAGTCTATGAGATTTGCAACTCATTGTATTCTGTTTTTATTTATAATTATTTACATTTTGCACATTGTCCCAACTTTTTTGGAAATGGGGTTGTATGTTTTACTAAATGATTTTATTTTGAAAGTACATTAGTCTATTAATTTTGTCAGTAGGTTAGTTTGATTGTTTTGTCTCTCAGTGATGCTTAACGTTTCCACCTTTGATGAGAGCCATGGACTCTGAACAGATGAGACACATCAGACTTGAACATGAAATGGGGAGAAAAATACATGTTTGTTCATTTTTAAACACATTGTTTTCATTGCCAGCTTTCCACTTTTTCACAAACCATGTTGTGGATTTACTACTCAGACTTGAAAAAGTAAATACAATTAAAATTTTTTCTGAAAATATACAAAATTATTGGCTTTCTAACCTGATATCTAGCCCTATAGCTAGTCTCTGTTCTTTTACATAAAGTGCACCAGATTGGATAAACTGCAACACAGAACTGCTACAGAAGCCAAGAAGCTGCGCTGGTTCATGTTCATGTATGTCGCTGAAATATGACCATATTTTGCATACGTTAATCCGCTTTAGTGCTTGGTTTGGTCAATATTGAGAAGGAGTGATATTGTTTCATCTCTGTTATAAATGTTTATTTCCTGTTTGAGGAGTGTTCCTGAAAAGTGCATAGCAGCCGCGACTGGGTGGAAACCAATAATTTTCCAAGAATGGGTTTTGTGTGGACATTTATAGGCCTTAGGCTATAACCTGTTTTTATTTTTACAGTCAGTAAAGAAATGCCATGTGGACGTTTATGGACATTGTCAGACACTGAAAATCCACACCGCCAAAGTAAGCCTTACCTCTTAATAGCCTTGTAGCAGATGATGATGGTCAGGAGAAGGAAGACTACTGAAGCACAGCTCACTGTCCCCAGCACCAAAATCTCGACCTCCCTTCCCCAGGGCTTCATAGGTGGAACAGTAGACGGAGCCACTATGATAAAGAAAGAGAGAGAGACAAATGAAAAGGGCACTGTAGGGACAGAAGCTCTGCTCACACTGTGGCTGTATCCTCTCTCTCACCTGTAAAGCTCCAGGGCCCAGTGACGGGGCCGCAGTGCATTGCACCACTCCATTAATCAGCTCCTATCTGAGAGGTGCTTCATTCGGCCCATTACGCAGCTACCTCACCCAGAAACGTATTAGCACTTCAGGGCCCTCCACCATACCTCCTGTGCCACTTTAAAGTTTGGATGAGTTTTTCTCTGGTTGGGGGAGTGGTGGCACTGCCGTGCTTTATTGAGTATGGATTTTAATGGCACTTATAAAAATGCACGAGAGAAGGCAAATTAACGGCCCCCGTCACCCTCACAATCACACACAAGTACTGCCTCTACGCTCTCTTTCTGTGTGCCGAGCTCTGGATTCAGCATTTTCTGAGCCTCATCAGCATACAGCACGCAGATATGCAATAGTCCATTAAAGCCAGAGCAAAGCTACTACTACTGTAGACTGACAGGATATGTTATCTCCCTACTGGCCATGCAAGTAAGAGAGCCAACCTGCATTTATACAGAACAATTTCTTTTCAAAACAGCCTGGGTTTAATCAAGAGTCAACACCGCTGACCTGCTGCTTCTGTATTTTACTAGTGGTGCACCAATACAATATACTAGATCAACAATGCATTTTCTAGAACAGCAGCCACCAACCCTGGTGCTGGAGATGTACCTTCCAGTAAGTGTAGCTCAAACCACAATCTGCCACACCTGCTTCAGTTCTTGACTGGCTGGATCAGATGTATTAGTTTTTGATCAAGAAGGTTCAGCCTGCTAGACACAGGTGGGAACTAAACTCTTCAAGTGAGTGGATCTCTAGTAGGAAGAATGGTGACTACTGTTTTAGAACAATATAATTTTAACTAATTGCATAATCCTACAAAGAATGTTGGTGTACAACAGTTTTCACTATTGTACACTGTAAAAGAAATCTGTAAAAATGGTCATTTCAATTTACTCTAATTCAATAGTGTCACTAGTTAAACTAGTTATCCTGACATACAGTATATTACCATAATAATTCCATAACAATAACAATAACAACCATTAAAATGTATGCAAATGTCTGTGAAATATAGGTGAAAATTCATGCATTCGTTACATGTAGAGTTGAATACTGTACTACTCTTCTTGCTTAGCTCCCTAAGAAAACAAACCACCCTCTACAACTCGTACAAAACGCAACAGCACAAATCCTAACACAAACAAAAAAGAGAGCTCTATCACCCCTGTTCAAAAATAACTGCACTGGCTACCTATATGTCTGTTTATGGTCCTGCATGTGATCTTAGTTCTGCAGATACTGGCCTTCTGCAAACACCCTCTACAAAATACAGAAAACAGGGTGAGGCCTCTTTCAGTTATTACACTTCTATATAATCACACCGAAGAAAAGTTGTAGACGCCATTTTAAAATGCCATTTATCTTTATATTATTAGAAAAACACTAATATTAGAAAAAATATTATTAACAATATTAATACAAAAATACAATCTCTCTCTCTCTCTCTCTCTCTCTCCTCTCTCTCTCTCTCTCCCTCTCTCTGGTAATGTTATAGTCTATAGCTGTGTTAGAATAACACCAGAGTTGGAGAACTCTGTAAATGCACCCCTGAATAAAATGGAAGAGCTGGGATGAAACATGATTTGAGATTGGTTAAATCTCATAAATTTGGGGCTATAGCCCTGGAAGCCCAGGCCAGATGATGCCACTGTTCAATTCCATCATCCCTCAAAAGAGATCAGAACAGAGATTAAAAACTGGTTCATTGATTTATAAGTCTACTCAGGCTTTAGCAGGAACTTCAGTGTTTGTAAAGAAGTTTTTTTTTGTCTTTACATGCCCTATGCTGACTATAACATAGTTAAAAAACAGGATGGTGTTTATATGGTGTATTTATTTTTTAAATTTAGTGGGTAAGTAAACTAAAATTATTCCTCTAAACAAGGTAACTGTATTCTGAATACTGCCTTTACAAACGTGGACTGAGTACAGATACTTATTTTCTGTATTCTGGAGAAATGAAATCTGGAGACTTCGTTCTAGCTACTAAGTAGATATCAGCTGACTTTTTTAAAATAGGAATTTCTTGTTACTTTTTACTGTATTTATGTTTATTTGCAAAAACACATTGCCAAGATAAATGTTTTTAAGCAATGTGTTTAGGCACCTGACTAAAGCATTTACAATGGTAAAAATGCTTTATATTCTTAATGTTTGTACTATGATGTGTTTCCACCACTGAAAAGCTATACTTTTCACATGACTGAAACATCCCAAGTGACCCAAAAAGAACTGGAGCGGTCCACCTTCATCAGATGGCTGCCCCTGATTAGTCAGAAGCTTGGCCCTGCTATTTATGATACAAGCGATCAGGTTAGGCGTGCAACATAATTTACCATGCTGGTGTTTTCCAGTAAAAAGTGATCCACCATTGTGAGACAGAGAATCCAGGATTAAATTGAAATGTTTTTAAAGTTAGACGGCTAAGCTAGAAATCCTGCTTTGTGAGACAGACCCCTGGTTTTGAACTAAATATCGATAAAAGAAACTCACAAATGCATCCTGCTTCCCAGCCTGCTTACCCATCGTTTCAGTAATGAACAACTAATAACTGTCTCATAATCTGACATTTTTTAAATCAAAACAGAATTTTTATATCAAGCCATTAGTGCCATTAGGAGATTAGCTGATGTAAATGTAAACAAACCTTTGTTTTTTTAAGTTTGGGGAATTCCGGCAGTGCTTTACCCAGAAGCAGGTCAGCATGTCCCAAATGACACTGAAACTGTAGTGTGAAAACAAGCGCAACCCGTGCAGGCTGTTTTTAGCTTTGACAGTGATTAACCCACATTCCACGAGTATTCCCGAGACGTTATCCCACAGCCGAGGAATATTAATCACTGAATTAGTCCTCTTTTGCAGATCAGCAAATTCATACACTCAGCACTGCCATTTATCATCCTGATCGATATTTACAAATCTCGCTGTTACAGCTGATTAAACCTAAACAAATGCATGAGGAAATTAGCCAACTTTCCTATTGATCAAAGACTTTTGTATCAGCATTGTAATGAATAAGAGGAAAACAGACAGGAAATGTTCAGGTTTAATAGATGGTACAATCGCATTGGCAGCGAGTACCAGTCCTGCTCCTGGGGGACTACTGTCCCATACATTTAGATGTTTTCCCCACTCTAACACATCAAATCCAAATATTCAGCTAATTAACAAGAACATCCCCCTTTGAATTGGGTGTATTAGAGGAGGAAAAACACAAAAAATGCACAATGTAGGTCAGTAACAGCGTCGGACTGCTGTTTTGTACAGATACAACAAGGTGGCCCGAACTTAAACTTTTCTTGGTGGGGGTTGGGAGGTGTAGTGACTAAAGTGGGTGGGCCTTATACCACTGCTACTGGTGTAAGGGCACTCCAGGAACAAAGCCGAGAACCTTTTCAAAAGTCCACCCTTCATTCATTTAATTTCCAGTCAAAATTCCAATTAAGTACAAGTTTATTTTTCAGCGTTAGGAAGAAAAAGCAGCAAAAGCAAACATTTTAGGCACTAGAGAAAATCAACCTTAAAAAGCTCTTTATCTGGGCTGTAAGTGTTTATTTGATCTTTTTTTTAGTATTTAGTGTGTCCACTCTTTGCCTTTATTACAGCTTCTTTTCAAGAGAACTGCTTTTAGTTTTCCACTGAAATCTGTAATGACAGTGCAGTTTTTCCACACCTCCAAAGTTCAGTCTTAGAAGTTGGTGGTCAGTGGTCAGTGAGGTTGTGAGAACAAGACCTTTTTTGTTCTTCTTTTCTGTCTATTTTCTTTTCTCAGTAACAACCTGACAGCTACACATCAGTTCAGACCCACAGTGCTGAGTTGTCTTCTCACAGTGGAAGGATGGACAAAAACACATGTGGATTTTTTCAGATCTGAAGCAAGAGTGAAGCTTAATTATCTCCTCTCTCTCAAAGATGACAGCTTTAAGTACTGTTTATCTGAGGGCGGACAGTTTTGGTGGTCTACCAGGTCTTGCACGGTTGTTAGTTAAGTCATGTCAAAGTTTATTTATATAGCACTTTATACAACAGGTGTTGTCACAAAGCAGCTTTACAGAAAAATCTGGGTCCAAGCCCCTATGAGCATCGCCAATGGCGACAGTGGCAAGGAAAAACTCCCTAAAAGCAAGAGGAAGAAACCTTGAGAGGAACCAAGTCTCAAAAGGGGAACCCATCCTCCTCTGGTCGACACCGCATAGCAAACAGCATCAATATAAAATATTAGAATACAAAACAGGAAAAAACAGGTGGAGCAATGGTTAATTAGATTAGTTTGAGTTTATGCAGCAGCAGCAGCATCAGGAGGGTCAGTTCATGCAGGTGAGGTTTGCACAGTGTTGTTAGAGTCCTATTTTCTCTGTATCTTTTCATCATTTTTTGAACTCCAGTTTTAGAAACTCATGGTTTTTCACTTCTTTTCTTTTTTCTTATTATGTTTTTTTAGTATAAATTTGTAATAATATTTTTAAGAATGATAATTGTAATAATATTGTTTTATTATTTTTATGTTTTATTGCTTTGCCTTGAGAATTAGTTATTATGTATATGATCTTCACTGAAATATCTCCTGAAAACTTGTACTTAAAGGCCATTCTTACTGGAAAGACAAACGAAGGGTGGTCTTTGACTTCTGCACAGTACTTTATGCTCCTAGAAACCAACAAAAGCTCTTACCCAATTTGTATTTATTTTAAACTAAGAATGACGATGAGGCCATGTTTGAAAGGTTTTGTACTAACTATAAACAGACTTTGAAAATTTGACAAGTGAACTAAGCTGTTTGCCTTGTTGAACTGTTTGCCATGTTGCAGCACTTAAAAAAGCACTGAACCATTTATATACTAATCAGAGATGGTGATTAAGTTGTAAGAATCT